CAAGGAGTCGAGATAACCGAGATAAGTGTGACGTGTGAACGGTCGTCAAAACTGAGCTTGGCCTGGTTACCGATCCAAGCTCGGACCGGTTTTGGCCTGGATCGGTTTTTCAAGGGTAGTGTAAATGGGGCTTTTGGCAGGCTCAGACTAGGAACGATTTTTGACCCTGGCCTTTTTTTCATCTACACCGGCCCAACTGGACCCCCAACCCCCCCACACCATCATGTACCGCAACATAGTTTTGCAAAATATTCAAACACAAATTCAACAAACATAAGGGGAACATCGTAGTTTGGTTTCTAAAAAAAAAGCATTGTAGTTTTATTATAATTCAATTTGTTGCAAGGATTTTACAGTTTAAATAAATAGAAAATTACACCATATGCCAACCTTCACAAGGAGGTGGATGACAAGGAAGGGCTATATATACTGCATGCATCATTTAGGTAGTTAACATTGTATTACTTCTTTAGCTCCTTGAGTTATTTACTGTCACAGGTAGGAGCTTCAGCCAGAGAGGAATATTTGGGGCCGGTCTGAACCTGGTCTATGGACTGAACCAACTTCATCTATCTCCACTCCACCACTAGTTTCAGTCCTGGGGGAAAAACATCCTTATTCTTTACTCCTGTTCATGCATATCAATCAGCATTCAGCGTTATGTTTTCTGCCGAGGTCTGAGCGCCAAAGACTAAAGTAATTGTATCAATAAAAGTCTTCTAATCATCTTTTCTTTCTGTGTGAGTTCTTTTCAGATTGAATTGTGTATTAGGTGCATAAATGATCATGGCACTGCTGATTGGAGATATTATTGGGAGAAATTGGGGGGCTCGAAATCAAACTTTGCTTAGGGTCCAATTAAGGTTTGGGTCGGCCCTGGAATTATCAATTAATTCTTTAGAAAAGAACTCAAACAGACATCATTTAGTTAAGGAGTGCTGCAATGGGAGGAGATTGAGGCGGTGGTGTTTTTTATCCAAACATTGGAGACTAGGAACCCCTCGATTCTCTCAGGTCTGGGAGGCAGCATGCATGGACCAGAGCTGCGCTCCTCAACCAGAGCGGGACCAGCAGAACCTCTAAGCCTGGCTTAATTAAGAACTCGCAGGTGTCAGTCTAGATCAGATCATATTTGTAGAGCATTCTCACATGGATCGGGACCGTCTGCGCTGAGGGAGAGGAAAGACAGCTCGTGCGTAAAATGCGTGGCACGCGCCCCACTTGAGACCCCGGGACGTTTTTTTTTTGTTTTGTTTTGTTTGTTTTCCTTTAATCTAAAGTTTAATAATTTAAATATAGGTGCAAGCATGAGATTTTTGAAGATTCAATGTTTTCTCCTTTGCGTGTCTTACTGCGTGCAAGAAGGATTATCGGGGGATTTTCAGAAGCATCTTAAGAGAAATTTTCATTTCCAGGTAAGAGCAATGTCCCATTTTTATGCAACTTTCTGGAAGGCGCCCAGACTTAGAAAATAAAGGACTAATTTACATCCTGTATAGGTTGTATAAGATTTTTTCCAGTGAGCGGGTTCCCACCCTGCAGATTGTTTATGTATAAATGCGCAGGATATTTGGTAATGGACTGACACAGCAAAGACTTGTGTGCAGAATTAACAGGAGGCCAGATCATGCAACCCTGGTCTGCCCATGTGTACAGTGAGAGCATTTATTTCCAGTTCCACTTCCCCCTCCATTCATCCATGAATGGCTAATTCACTCTGTTTTGACACAGGATCTTGGCCCAACCCTCATTTGCTTAGATTGGGAGGTTACTTAATAAATGTGGCCTAATGAACCCTCTTTAGAACTGATTTATTGCACAAGTCAGGATTTTTTTACCACTTCATGACTGATGCTTTTTTTTTTTTTTGTAACTCCCTATGTTTTACTTTTTTGCAGAGAACAAAACGTCAAAGCAAACCAGCAAAGCCGATGGTAAGTTTTTATTGATTTTACTGAAAGTTAACAAGAAGTCCAGACACTTAGACATAACACCTGATGGAGCTGAAACCCCAAATGTTCAAAGGGATTTTCTGTGTATCCTGTTTCTTTACCATCAGCTTTCTTTGGGACTAAACATACAGTAATCCTGTCTGTGTAGCACAAACCACAGCTTTCCTAGAGGCCTGATGTGGCTGTTCTCCTCCTTCCTGTCGCCTCATAATAAACTCAGGTGGCCACAATGTCCAGATCAGG